CTTTGCCAATTTGAATACCTTTTATTTCTTTTTGTTGTCTGATTGCTGTTACTAGGACTTCTAGTACTATGTTGAACAATAGTGGCAAGAGTGGGCATCCTTGACGTGTTCCTGATCTTAAGGGAAAAGCTCTCAGCTTTTCCCCATTGAGGATGATATTCTCTGTGAGTTTTTCATGGATGGATTTTATGAACTTGAGGAATGTTCCCTCTATCCCTATACCCTGAAAAGTTTTAATCAGGAAAGGATGTTGTATTTTGTCAAATGCTTTTTCTGCATCAATTGAGAGGACCATATGGTTCTTCTCCCTCCTCTTATTAATGTGTTCTATCACATTGATTGATTTGCGAATGTTGAACCACCCTTGCATCCCGGGGATAAATCCCACTTGGTCGTGGTGGATGATCCTTTTAATGTATTGTTGGATCCTATTAGCTAGGATTTTGTTGAGGATTCTGGAATCCATATTCATCAGGGATATCGGTCTGAAATTCTCCTTTTTGATGGGGTCTTTGCCTGGTTTGGGGATTAAGGTAATGCTGGCCTCATAGAATGAGTCTGGAAGCTTTCTTCCTGTTTCTACTTTTTGAAACAGCTTCAGGAGAATAGGTATTATATCTTCTTTGAATGTTTGGTAGAATTCCCCAGGGAATCCATCAGGCCCTGGACTCTTGTTTTTTGGGAGGTTTCTGATCACTGCTTCAATCTCGTTACTGGTTATTGGCCTATTCAGGTTGTCCATTTCTTCCTGTTTCAGTCTTGGCAGCTTATAGGTTTCCAGGAAGGCCTCCATTTCATCCAGATTGCTCAGTTTATTGGCATATAGTTGTTGATAATAATTTCTAATAATTGTTTCTATTTCCTTGGTGTTAGTCATGATCCCTCCCCTTTCATTCATAGTTTTGTTAATTTGGGTCCTTTCTCTTTCCTTTTGGATAAGTCTGGCCAGTGGTTTACTGATCTTATTAATTCTTTCAAAGAACCAACTTCTAGTTTCGTTGATCTGATCTACTGTGTTTCTGGTTTCTAATTCATTGATTTCTGCTCTAATTTTAATTATTTCTCTTCTAATGCGTGGCTTAGGCGTGGTTTATTGCTTTTTCTCTAGTTCTTTAAGGTGTAGAGTTAGTTGGTGAATTCGGGATTTTTCTATTTTTTTGAGTGAGGCTTGGATGGCTATGTACTTCCCCTTAGGACTGCCTTTGCAGTATCCCATAGGTTTTGGACCGATGTGTTTTCATTCTCATTGTTTTCCATGAATTGTTTAAGTTCTTCTTTGATTTCCTGGTTGACCCAAACATTCTTGAGCAGACTGGTCTTTAGCTGCCAAGTGTTTGAATTTCTGCCAAATTTTTTCTTGTGTTTGAGTTCCAGTTTTAAAGCATTATGGTCTGAGAATATGCAGGGAATAATAATACATACCCAGTATGTAGTCTATTCTGGAGAAAGTTCCATGTGTGCTCGAGAAGAATGAGTATTCTGTTGTTTTAGGGTGGAATGTTCTGTATATATCTATGAGGTCCATCTGGTCCAGTGTGTCATTCAAAGCTCTTCTTTCTTTGTTGATTTTCTGCTTAGATGATCTGTCCGTTGCTGAGAGTGGAGGTCTCCTACAATTAACATATTGTTATCAATATGACTCTTTATTTTGATTAACAGTTGGCTTATGTAGATGGCTGCTCCCATGTTGGGGGCATAGATATTTACAATTGTTAGATCTTCTTGTTGGATAGACCCTTTAAGAATGATATAGTGTCCTTCTGTGTCTCTAACTACAGACTTTAATTTAAAATCTAATTTGTCTGATATAAGAATTGCTACCCCAGCTTTCTTTTGAGGTCCGCTGGCATGGAAGACGGATCTCCATCCCTTCCCTTTCAGTCTGGATGTATCTTTAGGTTCACAATGAGTCTCTTGTAGACAGCATATGGATGGGTCCTGTCTTTTTATCCAATCTGCAACCCTGTGCCGTTTTATGGGAGCATTTAGGCCATTCACGTTGAGAGTGATTATTGAAAGATATGAATTAATTGTCATCATTTTGCCTGTGAAGATGTTGTTTTTATAGATAGTCCCTGTAAATTTCTTTCTTTTTTTTTTTAAGATTTTATTTATTTATTTGAGAGAGAGAATGAGAGACAGAGAGCATGAGAGGGAGGAGGGTCAGAGGGAGAAGCAGACTCCCTGCTGAGCAGGGAGCCCGATGCGGGACTCAATCCCGGGACTCCAGGATCATGACCTGAGCCGAAGGCAGTCGCTTAACCAACTGAGCCACCCAGGCGCCCGATAGTCCCTGTAAATTTCTGTTGTATATCACTCTTGGGGTCTTTCTCCTTTTATAAAACCCCCCTTAATATTTCTTGCAGAGCTGCCTTAGTTGTCACATATTCTTTCAGTTTCTGCCAGTCTTAGAAGCTCACATCTCTCCATCCATTCTAAATGACAGCCTTGCTGGAGAAAGTATTCTTGGCTGCATGTTCTTCTCATTTAGTACCCTGAATATGTCTTGCCAGGCCTTTCTGCCTTGCCAGGTTTCTGTGGATAGGTCTGACATTATTCTGATGTTCCTCCCTCTGTACGTAAGGAATCTCTTCCCGCAACTGCCCTTAAGATGGTTTCCTTGGTTCTAAGTTTTGCGAATTTTACTATTACATGCCGGGGTGTTGGCCTGTTTTCCTTGATCTTGGGAGGGGTCCTCTCTGCCTCTAGGACATGAATGTTTGTTTCATTCCCCAGATTAGGGAAGTTCTCAGCTACGATTTGCTCAAATATATCTTCTAGTCCTCTCTCTCTCTCTCCACCCTCTCTGGGATTCCAGTAATTCTGACATTGGAACGTTTCATGGTGTCACTTATTTCTCTGATTCTATTTTCATGGATTCTGAGTTGTTTTTCCCTGGCCTCCTCTTTTCCCTTTTTATCTATTAAATTGTCTTCCATGTCACTAATTTGTTCTTCTGCCTCACTTACCCTAGCTGTTAGATTATCTAGATTAGATTAGATCTCATTGATAGCATTTTTAAATTCTGCCAATTCACTTTCATTTCTGGCCTTAGAGACTCTATGTTGCCATTAATTGATTTCTCCATTGTAGCTATTGTCTTCACAATTGCTAGCCTGAATTCCATCTCCGATATCTTGGTTATATCTGCATCCATTTGTAAATCTGCTGCATAAGTCATAATCTCTGAGTTTTTCCTATTTTGGGGGTTCCTCCTCCTAATTCTGTTGAGGGGTGGCTGAGGGAATGTATAGAGTCCAAATTATTGACCACGACCCAAGCAAGATGCACCTGTTTTCTAGGGACCTTAGGGTTGCTGGCCTCTTGTTTTCCCAGCCTGTCTTCTGCGGGAGAGGCCTGCTGCACTGTTACTTGGGCAACCCTGTTTGAGCAGAGTTGCCCTGCCCCCTGTGGCAGGGGATGGGCTCAGGGAAAATTGTTTTTTTGGGGCTTTTTTTCTCTGGTGGCTTTCCCTGGTGGCTTTCCACGTCTTTTCGGAGAGTCAGAGCAGAAGATTCCTCTCTGCCTCAGAGCAGAGAGATCGCAATCTCTTCTTCAGTGAGCTCTCCAGGCCACACTCTCTCCGTTTTTGTCTGTGCTGCTATAAACTGCAGTCCAGGTTTGTGCGCCCCTCAGCAGCGCTCCCAGTCCTTGCGTCCAGGTCAGGCTCGTCTCTGCCCTTTGTGCTTCTAGAACTGCCAGCCACCCCCAGGTCACCCGTGCACTCCAGCTTCTGTCCTGGGGGCTGCCCTAAAGTCCTTTCCCCACCACTACCAATCTGCGAGTCTGTGCCCCGTCCCCAGTGCAAGAGGTTATCGCTCACCGGTGGTGTAGGATCCCCATGGCCAGGCTCCCTCCCCCTGCCATTTATCCTCTGATATCTGCCCGCAGAATCACGGCTCCCCACTTCGTGCCTCGAAACCAACCGCCTGCGATATTCTGTTTGTAGAGATCCAGATCTATCTTCTTACATCTCAGGCTGATTTTGTGGGTGTTCAGAGTGGTCTGGTAGATATCCAGCTCAATTCCGGGGACTGGTTGGAATAGGGTCCCTTACTCCTTCTCCATCTTTTCTCATTTGCATTTTTGACTCCTTTCACTTAGCTTACTATTTTCAAGGTTCATCCATTTTATTTTTATTTGCTTATGTATTTTTTATGTATTTACTTACGTACTTAGTAATTTATTTATATAAGTATATATGTATGAATGTATGTACGTATTTTACACCTTGCAGGCAATTTTTAAAAGTGGAGTTTGAGGATGGTGGTTCTTTGGCGCCACCTTGTGACTACAGCCTGAACTATTGCTTGAACCCTAAGGAATAGGAAAATGGGAGGGATGGTCTGTGACACAAACCCACCACACAGAACTTGCTGGAGTTCAAAGTGCAAAGTGGGGAATTCCTTGACCAAACCATATTGGTGGGCCCTCTCTGGACCCTACTAATAAGTGGAATCAAACAATATGTGGTTTTTCCATTTTTGACACCTTTCACTTAGCTTACTATGTTCAAGGTTCACCCACTGAATTGTTATTTACTTATGTATTTATTTATATATTCATGTATGTATGTATGTATGTATTTTACACCTTGCAGGCAATTTTTGAGAGTGGAGTTTGATGATGGTGGTTCTTTGGCGCCACCTTTTGACAAGAGCCTGAAGTGCTGCTTGAACACAAAGGAACAGGAAAATGGGAGGGATGGTCTCTGACACAAACCCAGACAGCAGACAGCAGTTTCTCAGGTTAAAATGCAAAGTGTGGAATTCCTTGACTAAACCATACTGGAGGGCTCTTTCTGGACACTACATATAAATAAATTATTTTATAGACAAATATAGACATAGTTGTGGTCTTTTGCGTTTTTGACTCCTTTCAATTATCATACTATTTTTGAGGTTCATTCACTGTATTTTTATTGATTGATTCATTCATTTATTTAAATAATAATTTACTTATTGATTTACTTATTTATTTATATATTATACTCCTTGCAGACTGTTTCTGAAAGTGGAGTTTGATGATGGTTCTTTGGCGCCAAATTGTGGAGAAAGCCTGAACTGCTGCTTGAACCTTAAGGAAGAGGAAAATGGGAGGGATGGTCTGTGACACAAACCCACCACACAGAACTTGCTGGAGTTTCCATTTTGAAATGGAAAGTGCAGAATTCCTTGACTAAACCATATTGGGGTGCTCTCCCTGGACACTACATATAAGTCTAATCATACAATATCTAAGTCTAATCATACAATATCTGGTCTTTTGCATTTTTGACTCCTTTCGCTTAGCTTACTATTTTCAAGGTTTATCCATTTTATTTTTTATTTATTTACTTATGTATTTCTCTATGTATTTATGTATGTATGTATGAATGTATGTATATATTTTACACCTTGAGGCAATTCTTGAGAGTGGAGTTTGATGATGGTGGTTCTTTGCGCCACCTTGTGGCAAAAGCCTTAACTGCTGCTAAAACACTACAGAACAGGAAAATGGAAGGGATGGTCTGTACACAAACCCGCCAGACAGATCTTTCTCAGGTTAAAGTGGAAAGTGTGGAATTTCTTGACTAAAGCATATTGGAGGGCTCATTCTAGACATGGCATATAAATAGAATCATTTTTCTAGGCAAATATAGACATATTTGAAGTCAGTTGCCTTTTTGTCTCCTTTCACTTAGCTTAATATTTTCAAAGTTCATCCATGTTATTTATTTATTTAGGTAGTTAGTTAGTTACTATCTTGCTTATTTACCTATCTATCTATGTATATGTATATATGTATGTATGTATTTTACCCTTTACAGAAAACTCTTTGAGAGTGGAATTGATGATGGTGGTTTTTTGGCGCCACCTTGTGTCAAAGCCTGAACTCCTGCTTGAACACTAAGGAACAGGAAAATATGAGGGATGGTCTGTGACACAAACCAACAAGGCAGATTTTCTGGAGGTCAAAATGGAAAGTGGGTAATTCCTTGACTAAACCATATTGGTGGGCTCTCTGGAAACTACATATAAATGGAGTCATTTTTATAGACAAATATAGACATATTTGTGGTCTGTTGCATTTTTTACTTCTTTCACTTAGTCTAATATTTTTTAGGTTTATTCAGTTTATTTATCTTGTTAGTTACTTACTTTCTTGCTTTTCATTTACTTACTTACTTATTTACTGATGCATGTATGTATGTATGTATGTATGTATTTTACACCTTGCAGAAAATACTTGAGAGTGGTGTTTGATCAAGGTGGTTCTTTGGTGCCACCTTGTGGCAAGACCCTGCAGTGCTAATTGAACACTAAGGAACAGGAATATGGGACGGATGGTCTGTGACACAAAACCACCAAACAGAACTTCCTCAGGTTAAAATGGAAAGTGTGGAATGCCTTGACTAAAGCATATTGGAGGAATCTTTCTGGACACAACATATAAATGGAATTATTTTTATAGACAAATGTAGACATATTTGTGGTCTTTTGCATTTTTGACTCCTTTCAACTAGCTTACTATTTTCAAGGTTCATCCACTGTATTTTTATTGCTTGATTCATTTATTTACATAATAATTTACTTATTGATTTACTTAATTATTTATATATTATACTCCTTGCAGACTGTTTTTGAAAGTGGAGTTTGATGATAGTGGTTCTTTGGCACCAAATTGTGACGAAAGCCTGAACTGCTGCTTGAACCCTAAGGAAGAAGAAAATGGGAGGGATGGTCTGTGACACAAACCCACCACACTGAACTTGCTGGACAAAATGGAAACAGAGGAATTCCTTGTGTAAGCCATATTGTTGAGCTCTCTCTCTGGATGCTAGATATAAGTGGAATCATACAATATCTGGTCTTTCGCACTTTTGCATCCTTTCACTTAGCTGAATATTTCAAGGTTCATCCATTGTGTTTTTATTTATTTACTTACGTATTTATTTATTTATGTATATGTATGTATGTATGCATGTATTTTCCACCTTGCAGGCAATTCTTGAGAGCGGAGTTTGAGGATGGTGGTTCCTCGGCGCCACCTTGTGGCAAAAGCCTCAACTGCTGCTTGAATGCTAATGAATAGGAAAATGGGAGGGATGGTCTGTGATGCAAACCCAGCAGACAGAACTTTCTCAGGTTAAAATGGAAAGTGGGGATCCTTGACTAAACATATCGGAAGGCTCTTTCTGGACACAACATAAAAATTGAATCATTTTTATAGACTAATATACACATATTTGTGGTAGTTTGTATTTTGACTCATTTCGCTTAGCTTACTATTTTCAAGTTTCATCCATTGTATTTTGATTGATTGATTGATTCATTCGTTCGTTCATTCATTCATTAATGTACATACTAATTTACTTATTAATTTATTATTTATTTATTTGCTTATTTATTTATATATTATACACCTTGCAGATAATTCTTGAAAGTAGAGTTTGATGATGTGGTTCATTGGCGCCACTTTGTGGCTAAAGCCAGAAATGCTGTTGGAACCCTAAGGAACAGGAAAATGGGAGGGATGGTCTATGACACCAACCCACCACACAGAACTTTGTGGGGTCAAAATGGAAAGTGGGGAAATCCTTGACTAAACCATATTGGTGGGCTCTCTCTGGACACTACCCATAAATGGAATCATTTTTAGAGACAAATATAGACATATTTATGATCTGTTGCATTTTTGACACCTTTCACTTAGCCTAATATTTTCAACATAAAACCAGTTTATTTAGTTAGTTAGAGAGTTACTTACTTTCAAGGTTTCTTACTTATTTAATGATTCAATTATTTATTTATTTATTTATTTATTTATTTATTTATTTATTTATTTATTTATTATCTTACACCTTGCAGAAAATACTTGAGAGTGAGATTGATGATGGTGGTTTTTTGGCACCACATTGTGGCAAAGGCCTGAACTGCTGGTTGAACACTAATGAATAGGAAAATGGGATGGATGGTCTGTGACACAAACCCACCAGACAGAACTTTCTCAGGTTAAAATGGAAAGTGGGGATCCTTGACTACATATATTGGAAGGCTCTTTCTGGACATGACATATAAATTGAATCATTTTTATAGACAAATATAGACATATTTGTGGTCTTTTGTATTTTGACTCCTTTCACTTAGCTTATTATTTTCAAGGTTCATCCATTGTATTTTTATTGATTTATTGATGGAATCATTCATTCATTCATTCATTCACATACTAATTTACTTATTTACTTATTTATTTATATATTATACGCCTTGCTGACAGTTAAGAGTTTAGGATGGTGGTTCTTTGGCGCCACCTTGTGGTAAAGTCGGAACTGCTGCTTGAACACTAAGAAAATGGTAGGGGTGGTCTGTGACACAAACACACTGGACAGAACTTTCTCAGGTTAAAATGGAAAGTGGGGAATTCCTTGACTAAAGCATATTGGAGGGCTCATTCTATACATGGAATATAAACGGAATCATTTTTATAAATATAGACACATTCGTGGTCTTTTGCTTTGTTGATGCAATTCACTTAGATTACTATTTTTTGGCTCATCCATTCTGCTTTTATTGATTAATTAATTGATTGTTTCATTCTTTCATTCATTCATTTACTTACAAATTTACTTTTTGAATACTTATTTATTTACTTATTTATTTATGTATTATACAGCTTGCAAAATTCTTAGAAGTGAAGTATGATTATGGTGGTTCCTTGGCACCACCTTGTGGCTACAGTCTGAACTGCAACTTGAATCCTGAGTAACCGCAAAATGGGAGAGATGGTCTGTGACACAAACCCACCAGACAGAACTTTCTCATGTTAAAATGCAAAGTGGGGAATTCCTTGACTAAACCATATTCATGTGCTCTCTCTGGACACTACATGTAAGTGGAATCATACAATATCTGGTCTTTTGCATTTTTTACTCCTATTAGCTGAATACTTTCAAGGTTCATCCATTTAATTCAATAATTTATTTATTTATCTTACGTCTTTATTTATATATATTACACCTTGCAAAAAATACTTGGGAGTGGTTTGATGATGGTGGTTCTTGGGCGCCACCTTGCGGCAAGATCCTGAACAGCTGCTTGAACACTAAAGAACAGGAAAATGGGAGGGATGGTCTGTGACACAAACCCACCACACAGAACTTCCTGGAAGTCATACTGGAATGTGGTCAATCCCTTGACTAAACTATATTGTTGCATTCTCTCTGGACACTACACATAAATGGAATCATTTTTAGAGACAAATACAGACTTATTTATGACCTGTTGCATTTTTGACTCCTTTCACTTAGCCTAATACTTTCAAGGTTCAACCAGTTTATTTAGTTAGTTACTTACTTTCTAGCTTTCCTAGTTGCTTACTTATTTGCCAATTCATTCATTCATTTATGTATGTATGTATGTATTTTACACCTTGCAAACAATAGTTGGGAATGGAGTTTGATGATAGTGGTTCTTTGGCGCCACCTTGTGGCAAAAGTCTAAACTGCTGCTTGAACACTAAGGAACAGGAAAATGGAAGGGATGGTCTGTGACACAAACCCACCACATTAAACTTTCTGGAGTTCGAAATGGAAAGTGTGGAATTCCTTGACTAAACCCTATTGGTGGGCTTTCTCTGATACTGTATATAATTGGAATCATTTTTATAGAAAAATATACACATATTTGCAGTCTATTGCATTTTTGACTCATTTCACTTAGCCTACTATTTTCCAGGTTCATCCAATGTATTTTTATTTACTTACTTATGTATTTATGTACTTATATATGTAGTTATATATCTATGTATTTTACACTTTGCAGGCAATTCTTGAGTGTGTTTAATGATGGTGAATCTTTGGCACCACCTTGAGGCAAAAGCTTAAACTACTGCTTGAGCGCTAAGGAACAGGAAATGGGAGGAATGGCCTGTGACACAACTCCACCACACAAAACTTTGTGGGGGTCAAAATGGAAAGTGGGGAATTCATTGACTAAACCATATTGGTGGGCTCTCTCTGGACACTACATATAAGTGGAATCATACAATATGTAGACTTTTGCATTTTTTCTCCTTTCACTTAGCTGAATATTTTCAAGGTTCAACCATATCATTTATTTATTTATTTATTTATTTATGTCTTGCAGAAAATAGTTGAGAATGGAGTTTGATGATGGTGGTTCTTTGGCGCCACCTTGTGGCAAAACTCTGAACTGCTGCTTGCACACTAAGGAACTGGAAAATGGGAGGGATGGGCTGTGACACAACCCTACCACATAAAACTTTCTGCAGTTTGAAATGGAAAGTGGGGAATTCCTTGACTAATCCCTATTGGTGGGCTTTCTCTGGATACTGCATATAATTGAAATCATTTTTATAGACAAATATAGACATATTTGTGGTCTTTTGCATTTTGACTCCTTTCACTCAACTTACTATTTTCAAAGTTCATCCATTGTATTTTTATTGATTTACTTATGTATTTATGTATGTATTTATGTATGTATGTATGTATGTATTTTACACTGTGCCGACAATTCTTGAGAGTGGAGTTTGATGATGGTGGTTCTTTGGCGCCACCTTGTGGCAAAAACCTGAACTTCTGCTTGCAAACAAAGGAACGGGAAAATGGGAGGGATGGTCTGTGACACAACCCCACCACACAGAACTTTGTGGAGGTCAAAATGGAAAGTTGGGAATTCCATATTGGTGGGATCTCTCTGGACACTACATATAAGTGGAATCATACAATATGTGGTGTTTTGCATTTTGGTCTCCTTTCACTTAGCTGAATATTTTCAAGGTACATTGATTTTATTTATTTATTCGTTTATTTATTTATTTTGTACTTATTTATTTATATATTATACAGCATGCAAAAAATACTTGAATGGAGTTTGATGATGTTGGGTCTCTTGCGCCACCTTGTGGCAAAAGCCTGAACTGCTGCTTGAACACTAAGGAACAGGAAAATGGGAGGGATGGTCTGTGACACAAACCCACCACATAAATCTTTCTGGAGTTCAAAATGGAAAGTGGGGAATTCCGTGACTAAAGCATATTGGAGGGCTCATTCTAGACATGGCGTATAAATGGAATGATTTTTATATACAAATACAGACATATTGTTCTCTTTTGCATTTTTAACTCCTTTTACATCACTTCCTTTTTAAGGTTCATCCATTATACATTTATTTATTGAATGATTGTTTCATTCATTCATTCATTCATTCATTCATTCATTTACTTCCATGCTTATTTACTTATTAATATACTTATTAATTTACTTATTTATTTATATATTATACAACTTGCAGAATTCTTGAAAGTGGAGTTTTATGATGGTGGTTCTTTGTTGCCACCTTGTGGGTACAGTCTGAACTGCTGCTTGAATCCTAAGTAACATCAAAATGGGAGGGATGGTCTGTGACACAAACCCACCAGAGAGAACTTTCTCAGGTTAAAATGGAAAGTGGGGAATTCCTTGACTAAACCATATTCGTGTGCTTTCTCTGGACACTACATATAAGTGGAATCACACAATATCTGGTCTTTTGTATTTGTGACTCCTTTCCATTAGCTGAATACTTTCAAGGTTCATCCATTTTATTTGTTTATTTATTTATTTAATTTTTACTTCTTTATTTATATATTATACACCTTGCAAAAAATACTTGAGAGTGGAGTTTGATGATGGTGGTCCTTTGCGCCACCTTGTGGCAAGATCCTGAACTGCTGCTTGAACACTAAGGAACGGGAAAATGGGAGGGATGGTCTGTGACACAACCCCACCACACAGAACTTCCTGGAGGTCAACCTGGAAAGTGAGCAATTCCTTGACTAAACCATATTGGTGGACTCTCTCTGGACCCTACACATAAATGGAATCATATTTGTAGACAAATATAGACATTTTTATGATTTGTTGCATTTTTTTACTTCTTTCACTTAGTCTATATTTTCAAGATTCAACCATTTTATTTATTTAGTTACTTACTTACTTTCTAGCTTTCTTACTTACCCATTTACTGCTTCATTCATTCATTCATTCATTCATTTATTTATAATTGTGTATTTTACACCTTGCAGAAAGAGTCGAAAATGGAGTTTGATGATGGTGGTTCTTTGGCGCCACCTTTTGCCAAAAGTGTGAACTGCTACTTGAACCCTAAGGAAGAGGAAAATGGGAGGGATGCTCTGTCACACAAACCCCCCACATAAATCTTTCTGGAGTTCAAAATGGAAAGTGGGGAATTCTGTGACTAAACTGTATTGGTGAGCTTTCTCTAGATAATGCATATAATTAGAATCATTTTTATAGACAAGTATAGACATATTGCAGTCTATAGCATTTTTTACTCCTTTCTGTTAGCTTACTATTTTCAAGGTTCATCCATTGTATTTTTATTTATTTACTATGTATGTATGTATGTATGTATTTTACACTTTGCTGGCAATTCTTGGGAGTGGAGTTTGATGATGGTGGTTCTTTGGTGCTACCTTGTGGCAAAAGCCTGAACTGCTACTTGAACACTAGAACAGGAAAGTGGGAAGGATTGTTTGTGACACAAATCCACCAGAATGAACTTTCTCAGGCTAAAATGGAAAGTGGGGAATTCCTTGACTAAAGCATATTGGAGGGCTCATTCTAGACATGGATATGAATGGAATCATTTTTAAATACAAATACAGACATATTTGTGATCTTTTGCATTTTTGACTCCTTTCACTTAGCTTACTATTTTTAAGGTTCATCCATGCTACTTTTATTGATTGATTCATTCATTCATTCATTTACTTAGATACTAATTTACTTACTAATATACTTATTTACTTATTTATATATTATACAGCTTGCAAAATTCTTGAAAGTGAGGTTTGATGATGTGGTTCTTTGGCGCCACCTTGTGGCTACATTCTGAACTTCTGCTTGAATCCTAAGTAACCGGAAAATGGGAGGGATGGTCTGTGACACAAACCCACCAGCCAGAACTTCCTCATGTTAAAATGGAAAGTGGGGAATTCCTTGACTAAACCATATTGGTGCACTCCCTCTGGACACTACATATAAGTGGAATCATACAATATCTTGTCTTTTGCATTTTTGACTCCTTTCCATTAGCTGAATACTTTCAAGGTTCATCCATTTAATTAATTAACTTATTTATTTATTAATTTTTATTTATTTAGTTGGTTATATTTTACTTCTTTATTTATATATTATACACCTTGCAAAAAATACTTGAGAGTGGAGTTTGATGATGGTGCTTCTTTGTCGACACATTGTGGCAAGATCCTGAACAGCTGCTTGAACACTAAAGAACAGGAAAATGGGAGGGATGGTCTGTGACACAAATCCAGCTGACAGAACTTCCTGGGGGTCAAACTGGAAAGTGGGCAAATCCTTGACTAAACTATATTGGTGGGATCTCTCTGGACACTATACATAAATGGAATCATTTTAATAGACAAATACGGACATATTTGTGATCTGTTGCATGTTTGACTCCTTAGCCGAATATTTTCAAGGTTCAACAAGTTTATTTATTCACTTACTTACTTACTTATTTTCTAGCTTTCTTGCTCATTTACTGAGTCATTTATTTATTTATTCATTTCTTTATGTATGTATGTATGTATGTATGTATGTATGTATGTATGTATTTTACGCCTTGCAGAAAATAGTTGGGAATGGAGTTTGATGATGGTGGCTCTTTGGCGCCAACTTGTGCCAAAGGTCTGAACTGCTGCTTGAACGCTAAGGTACAGGAAAATGGAAGGGATGGTCTGTGACACCATCCCACCACATAAAACTTTCTGGAGTTCGAAATGGAAAGTGGGGAATTCCTTGACTAAACCCTGTTGGTGGGCTTTCTCTGATACTGCATATAATTGGAATCATGTTTATAGACAAATATAGACATATTTGCAGTCTATTGCATTTTTGACTCCTTTCATTTAGCTTACTATTTTCAAGGTTCATCCACTGTATTTTTACTTATTTACTTATGTATTTATGTATTTATGTATGTATGTATTTTACACTTTGCAGACAATTCTTGAGAGTGGAGTTTGATGATGATGGTTCTTTGTCGCCACTTTGAGGAAAGCCTGAACTGCTGCTTGAACACCAGGGAACAGGAAAATGGGAGGGATGGCCTGTGACACAAACCCACCAGACAGATCTTTCTCAAGTTAAAATGGAAAGTGGGGAATTCCTTGACTAAAGTATATTGGAGGGCTCATTCTAGACATGATATATAATTAAATCATTTTTATATACAAATACAGACATATTTGTGGTCTTTTGCATTTTTGAATCCTTCCACTTACCCTACTAATTTTAAGGTTCATCCATTGTACTTTTATTAATGATTGATTGATTGCTTCATTCATTTGTTCATTCATTTAGTTACATACTAATTTATTAATATATTTATTTCTTTACTTATTTATTTATATATTATGTAGCTTGCAGAATTCTTGAAAGTGAAGTTTGATGATGGTGGTTCTTTGGCGCCACCTTGTGGCTAACGCCAGAACTGCCCTTGAACACTAAGGAAAAAGAAAATGGGAGAGAGTCTGTGACATCCACCAGACAGAACTTTCTGGAGGTGAAAAAGGAAAGTGGGGAATTCCTTGACTAAACCATATTGGTGGGCTCTCCCTGGACACTACCTATGATTGGAATCATTTTTAAAGACAAATATAGACATATTTGTGATCTCCTGCATTTTTGACTCCTTTCACTTAGCCTAATATTTTCAAGGTTCATTCATGTTATTTATTTATTTATTGGCTTACTTACTGATTTACTTATGTATTTACTTATTTATTTTTTTACACCTTGTAGACAAATTTGAGAGTCGAGTTTGATGATGGTGGTTCTTTGGTGCCACCTGTGGCTAAAGCTTGAACTATTGCTTGAACACTAAGGAACAGGAAAATGGGAGGGATAGTCTGTGAAACAAATCAACCAGACAGAATTTTCTCATGTTAAAATGGAAAGTGGGGAATTCCTGGGCTAAACCCTACTGGAGGGTTCTCTGTGGACACTACATATAAGTGGAATCATACTAACTGGTCTTTTGCATTTTTGACTCCTTTCACTTAGCTGAATACTTTCAAGGTTTATCCACTTTATTTGTTCATTTATTAATTTATTTATTTATATATTATACACCTTGCAAAAATACTTGAGAGGAATTTGAGGATGATCGTTCTTTGGCGCCACCTTGTGGCAAGATCCTGAACTCCTGCTTGAACTCTTAATAGGAAAATGGGAGGGTTCGTCTGTGACACAAACCCATCACACAGAATTTCCTGGAGGTCAAACTGGAAAGTGGACAGTTCCTTGACTAAACCATATTGGTGGGATCTCTCTGGACACTACACATAAACAGAATCATTTTTAGAGACAAATATAGACGTATTTATGATCTGTTGCATTTTTGACTCCTTTCACTTAGCCAAATATTTTCAAGGTTCAACCAGTTTGTTTATTTATTTAGTTAGTTACTTACTTTCTACCTTTCCTAGTTACTTATTTACCAATTCATTCATTCATTCATTCATCCATTCATGTATGTACGTATGTATGTATGTATTTTATGCCTTGAAGAAAATAGCTGAGAATGGTGTTTGATGGTGGTGGTTCTTTGGCACCACCTTGTAGCAAAAGCCTGAACTGCTGCTTGAACACTGAGGAACAGGAGAATGGGAGGGATGGTCTGTGACACAAACCCACCACATAAAACTTTCTGGAGTTTAAAATGGAAAGTGGGGATTCCTTGACTAATCCCTATTGGTGGGCTTTCTCTGATACTGCATATAATTGGAATAATTTTTATAGATAAATATAGACATATATGCGCTCTATTGAATTTTCAACGCCTTTCACTTGGCTTACTATTTTCAAGGTTCAGCCATTGCATTTTGAGTTATTTATTTATGTATTTATATATTTATATGTGTATTTCTGTACGTATTTTACACTTTGCAGACAATTTGAGAGGGGAGTTTAATGATGGTGCGCTTTTTTGGCGCCACCTTGTGGCCAAAGCTTGAACTGCTGCTTGAACACTAAGGAACAAGAAAATGGGAGGAATGGTCTGTG